CTTATTTAAATTTTAGTGAGTTTTTATGATTTAATTATTCATAGTAATTTACATAAATATTTAAACTTAACTTATATTTTTCAAAAGTCCTCTGACCATAGGGAACCTACCAAAATAAGTCCCATATTTTTTTTATTTATATTTTAATTTATATACTTATTTTAAGCAAAAAAAGATAACTAGGCTTGAAAATTAGGGTTTAAAAGCTAGATATGCTCTATGACCTCGAAAAAATCAGAGAACATCACAATTAACATGTGAAATCAACCCCTAAAGTTTCAAGTAATGGTGATTATTATTTACTTTATTAGAATTAAAACTATCTAGAGAGTATTTAATTAATTAAAAATTAGAGACTTGTCAAATAACTTTTATTATTATTCCACATTATTATCCTCTGTTTATTGAGCAAGAGGGTATTTTTATTTTATTTTTATGATTTTTCTGCACCAAGTTATGTATTTTCCTAAGTTAACTGAATTAAATAAATCAAAATAAATTCCTATTTTTCTACTTAAACACGCGGCAGACGCGTCATCCTATAACAATCCGAAAGACCACGCGGTGTTCCGGTATTTGACATTGCCATCCACGTAGTCGCCTAGTCCGTGCGTGTTTTATTAACTATTCTCTCGTCCGGCGCGATCCTAGCCCTCCATCTGATGCACGCACAATCCAACGGATCTCCGTCATCATCCCCAACTGGCCTAACCCAAGAACTATCCTCCTATGCTTAAGATCTCTCACTACACTCAACTAAATCGCATGGGATTTGTTCCTACATCTTCATCTAGTCCTGACGAACATATCTATACAGTCACATGCTCATGAAATTAAACTTTTCTTCACAAAGGCCCAAATCGAACTCGATCCCAAATCGAACTCGATTTGGGGGAAAATGACTTATACTTTTGTCTGAGAAGGGAGGCCTCAATCATATGCTTAAAGAAGCTTCAATGGAGTCCAACCAAGATGCTTGAACTGTTGCTTTCCTCTGGTGAATGGTCTAGGTACGAGTTCAGTCAGGAGGTGGTGCAGCCTGGGTCTAGAGGTGGGTTAAGTGCTCGAGACAAGGGGATTTTGATGGAAAACTTCCTCGTTTGGTCTGAGGAAGCTTAAGAATTGTTTAACTCGGATTTTTTAGGAGTTCTATGGAGTTACATAAAAGGTCCTAATTTTTTGACTCAAAATTGAGCTCAGGCAGTGGGGCAATTGCTGGGAAATGGCTAGAATGTGCTCAGGCACTGCGCAATTGCTGGGAAATGGCTAGAATGAGCTCAGGAGGTCTTGGAGAAGCTCTGGAAGTAACTTGGCAGAGTCTCCCCAAGGTTTTTGTGCACTTACCATGTTTGGTCATGGGAGGTGGTGTTTAAAAAGAGGAGGAAGAGTGGTGACCAGGGCTGCTAGTGGGAGGAAAGGGACGCTTAGGTGGAGGGCTGAGCGGCGCCAATAGCCAATGGGGATGAGCCAACTCAAGGAGTCCTAATTTTGACTCTAAAGCTTGGGGTGGTTCTCAGTTTTGGTGTTTTCTGATGACTAGGCCAGCCAGCCAAACCAGGACTGGTGGCTAGCTGGCTCAGGGAGGTCAGAGGAAGGTTTAATTATGATTAGGCTTGGGGTTTGATGGTTGATGGCAAATCTCATTAGTTTAGTCATTTTAGGAAGGGATCTCCCAAATCAAGGGACCCTTAGTCCATTGCTCAATATTTGGTCTTTAGGTTATTTAATTAGCATCCAAGAGTGTTTAAACATGGCCAAAATGGTTAAGGCTTGGATCAATTTGAAATATTTGAGGTGGACTTGAGATTAGGTTCAAAATGGGGGTCTAAGCTTGGACTTGGACTTAGCTAAAGCTTGGCTTTGTTCTAGTTAAATGGTGGATTTGGTTTATAAAATTGTCATGAAGCGTTCGGAGCTCAATTCGATGAAATTCAGGTGTCATAAAGCTTGATTTAGAGAAATTCGGATTTTGGGTCAAAATTGGAGCTTTTCGTTCAATTTGGGTTTGGGCTAGGATCTTGACCAATTGAAGGTCCAATTGGGTCTAGAGGAATGTCATGAAAAAATTAGAATCAAAATTGAAGAGCTCGAACAAGTTAAGGGGCTCAATTTGGGGAAACTTGAGGCCATGGTCAAAATTGGGGCTTTTGGTGGGCTTTTGGTTCTAATTGAAATTAAGGTTTGGAGAGTGGTTCAATTGGGCTTCAAATTGGTTTTGATTGGGATTGGACAAGGTGAATTTTGATTTGGAATTGAAATTGAGGAGGATTGAAGTCAAATTCGTAGAAATTGGGGAGTGATTTGGGGTGATCGGGTCTTAAAGGGCAAAATTGGGATTTTGTTCAAAATTGGTCAAATTAGTCAAATCGGACTTCATGATTGGTCAAGATTGGTTTTGAAAGTGTTTGTAATGATTTTTAGAGGTTTTGGAAAATTTTGGGCTAGCAAGGTCATTTTGGTAATTTTGGCAATTTTGGGGGTATTTTGGAAATTTTGGAAATTATGGGATGTTTTGGGCAATTTTAGTGGTTTTAAAGAGTTTGAGATGATTTTTGGACAAACTTGGGTAATTTGGGCTATTTGGGAAGATTTAGAATTTCCAGGGTAATTTGATTTCTAGGGTAATTTGGTAGTTTTGAGAAAGTGTGGGGGCAAAAGGCTAAATTGGGTTTTTGGGCAGGATGAGATCAATTGAGGATGCTAATCATAAAATTACCCTTTTTTGAGCCATGAGACCAAGGGAACTCTCATTTCGGATCCTCCATGTGCTGGTCTTAGCCACAGGACTAATGGTTTGGGGGACCATCCACATGAGTTTCCAAAAGAGTAAGGGATCAAGCTAAGCATGTTCGGTTTAGGGTTGAGGTTGTGAGTGCAGGTGAGGGGTATCAAGTGTTTGTCTGCAAGACTAACCAAGACCGCACCACCCAGGGCTAACCCTAAGGCCAAACAGTCCTATGAGGACTCCTTTTGAGCTCCCTCATATTAACTCCACCTACTAAGTGCTAGAGGTTAGAACCAACATGTGGAACTTCAAGATGAGCAAAGAAATGTTTTAGAACTTCTAATGGTGAGGGTTCTTTTACTAGTCTTCTAGGAATCGGCAATATGAAAGTCCTATGGCAAGAGATCCTAGCCTTCTATAGAAGAAACTAGACCTCAACCAAAAGTGTGGTAAACAATTGTGAGGAGAGTGCTCAGGAAAGCAGTAAGGGAGCAGGTAAGTCTTGTTTACCATTCAATTATTATGGTAATTTTGATATGTCTCCTTTCGATCAAACTCAATCTACTAATGGTATGTAGTCCTCTAAATCTGGCTTTCTTAAAAGAGAAACATTCATCAATAGCTGATGTATATGCAATTTATTTACACGTGCCTATAATTTTTTTTCTATCGTAATCGTCGTCGCTTATAAAGTTCACGAGGCTATTTCCATTTCAATTTTTTTTTAAAGATTGCCTTGTGTTGTGTAATATCACGAACACATTACAGGTACATGCTTTTGAGTTTGGCAAAGATGTCTCAACCTTCATTAAGAAGAATTACAATCTACTAGTTAAATTAGGTCTACTTGTGCCTATATTCCTTATTTCATTGATATCCAGAAGGTCGCCAACCTTTTAAGAATATCGTAGAGGATTTTTTAAGGGCACGTTTGGTTCGACTTTTTTGGCACGGCGCTATGTGCGACAGCCGCTTCACCGCTTCGTCCCGCAGTCGGCCGTTTGGTTCGTAGCTTTGCGGCAAAACTTTTGCAAAGCTGAGAGAAAGGGGGCCGCGGAATTAACCCAGCGGGCCCCCCTTC